GCTCCCAACATTTACACTGAAACAATGAAGTTACGGGCTGTATAGATATACCGTATGATCCGGGCTTAGAGGCCGAACTTTCCGGGTGCCGAAAGTACGGCTTCTACGGCCAAAGTTTTTTTTTTTTTTTTTTTTTTTTTTTTTTTTTTTTCAGAATAAAATTTGATTCGACAGTTGAAGAGCAGGCTTGGGAGCTCCGCAAGAGCACCGAGAAGCTCGTGCACTCCTGTCGAGAGCCGTTAATTGAAACATCAGCGGAGCCCTCCATATGCAAACCCACATCATCGATCATGCGAAATCGCCGGGCGGAAACGAATGTTTATGCCGCGGCTCGCTCGAAAACGTGCAAAAACCCGAATCCGAGCACAAAAGCGCATAGCCAGGCGCAAATTTCGTCGCTCCTCAAACGTAAGGACATATCTCGATTTCCACGTGACCCCTGTGCTCCGTACAACGCCATACTCTCCGGGGCTCAAAAGGAAATTGAGATGCGCCCTTACGTCAGAGGCGCGCAAATTTATGCAGCTGATAAAATATGTGTGTCGACCGTCGCGGAGTGTCACCAACTCGCGGACTCCGACCTGCAACGCTCGCTGCATATGACGCGGAGAGTTGCCAAAAAGCAAAAACCACTCATCCTGAATGCAGATCTTGCTTAGGACACGCGGTTCTTCGTATTCGTCGCTTCGGCGAGTCACTCCCCTGTCCTCGCATTTTGTACTTGTTCGCTCCTTAAAATGACCTACTTTGCCCTGTCATCGTCTGCATTCCAACCGGTTGGAGTTAAAACCACGTCGAGGCGTGAATGATCGATTCTTGATATTTCCTCATTTGAAGGTATGGTTAAGAGTCGATTAACAAGGTGTTTTTGCGAGCACCCTGTGTATCGATCATTTTCCATGGGTTTGAATGACAGATAAATCGATGTATCGCAAAACACGCCACGCCACTGAACCAAGTCGCGGACGTAAACGCTCCAGAGAAAAATGCTCAAGACTCAGGATTCAGGAATGGAGAGGGGGACGGTTTGAGGAGTCATTAATCAGGAAATCGGTCAGCTAATTTAACCAAAAATGAATCCGAAAAATGCCGTTGAGGAAATTCGATAGCCTCTCGAAATCGGATGCAGAGAGAGAGTTAATACTGACTTTTTTCATCACCATATTCTTTCGTTTTCTTTACTAACCCTCGTAACGCATTTTGCCGCGAAAAGGAACTCCCCTCCTGTCCAATCAATCACAGACACATCAAGAGGCTCCATACCACCCTTGTCTCTTCATTAATGAAAATTGACCATTTGACCAATATATTAATTTTCTTCCTCTCAAAAATAAGGTAATTTTGTGAATTTGGCTCAAGTAGTAACACCGGGATGGAGTCCTCCTCAAGAACCCTCTTTCTCAACAATCCAAAACGTGGACGTAAACCTCTTGAACATAATTTAAAGACCACGCGACGTTAAACCTTCGCGTTACCTACCAAGGAGAAGAAAATCGAGATTTTTTTTTTCGAAAAATCAGTATTAGAGAAATTTTCAGCTGAAAAAAAAAATTGGAGTTCATTCAACGTTGCACTGGTGTATATCGAGTTCATGTATTTACATTTTCGTTAATGGTGCGTTATCTTAAAAAAACTAGGGCTAAGGAACCATACCACTAACCGAAAATTTTGACGTGAATGAGTTATAACTGACTGACTTTGCCGCATTCTTCAGTATTGAATGCGTAAGCTGATGTTTTTAGTTTCTCCAATTCCTCACAGGGGCGCTGAAATATATTAAAAAATTGCTACCTCAAAATTTCAAAAATGGGAATTCCTATACTCTTTCAAATCCTAATTAGCTCGAAATAACCTCATTTGTCTATAGACGACTGTAGATTCCTAAAAAAATTGAATAAAGGAATAGAAGCCACAAAACTCCCCCCCCCCCCAAAAAAGGGAAAGTTTCCTCTTTGTCTTACAAAATTGTCACTGCGCAGATAGGTGGTACTATTCGTTAGCCATCGAAATGGAGAGATAGGTCAGGGAATTGGTGACGAGAGTTACATGACCTTCGAACAGCCTGCAAAGAATGAACCCCTCGAACAGTTCAGAATAAGCACTAAACTAACCAACTGCATACAATGAATCATCGAATGAAGAAAGTAATATGAATTCGAAACGCAGTCGTGAAATGTGTCACCTCATCAACGACCCAGTCCGCGATGTGAGGACAAGAGCCGTCGAGACGTTGTTTGGGTGGTGTCGTTGACCCTACTGCGGAAGCAGAATATGCCCAAGAAAAGGAGCGCACAGGAGGCGAGCAGCTGAGAACCTCGATCTGAATAATAGTTTCTGTTTCCGGGATGCAGTTCGCTGGACCCTCGGTTGCCTTGCTCCCGTTAAAACTCCACAATCCCTCCAGAAAATCATGGTACAGAACCTAAGTTTTGAACCAATTTGGCACTAGGCTGAATTAGTAACATTGCGCTCTAGCGTCGTCTAGAGTCTCTTTATACTGAGAGTCAAGACAACACCCCCTCATGGAGTCACAAACGGGAATAAAGATTACACAAATTGAACGTTTTTCGTAATCTTTGATCGGCCCATTCTCAAATTCCTTTCTCCGTTCCTTCTCTCATTCCGTTTGTTCATTGCCAAATCCATAATTCCCTGGTCCATTCCAGATTATAATCTTTGCAATCGGCGAAAACGTGAGCTTTATTCCCGTTTGTGACACTGTGAAGGCCTAAAATACGGGAACCAATCAGAAATGGATTCACATTGCCTTGACTCTCAGTATAAAGGGTCTCTAGCGTCTTCTGAGGCAGTATCGCGCCGTGCTTTGCGATATATCGATTGATCTGCCATTTGAGCCTGCGGAAAAAGATCGAAAGGTGTCCGCAATAAACACCTTTATGATCGATATTTTACCCTAGCTTCAATTGGAGATATATCCATGATCGATCATTCACACCTTGCCACTGGTCTTAAGTGGCCAAGGAACTCCTCTTCATCTTGTATTTTCCTCTTTGCCAAAAGCAGACTACAATTTTATCCCACACTCTGAAAAAGAATGATCGTGGTTTCCTGAGACTCCCTTTGCTACGCACATAGGTTTTTGTAAATTTTGCTGCTATCTCTCATTAAATTAATTAAGGAATTTTGTCCTATCTTCAAAAGATTTAATGCTGCATTGACGGCTTACTGATCCAAAATAAACGATTGAATATATGTTTTGGATAACATTTGTTCCGGCCGTAGTTTTTGTAACGTTCTTCAGCCTATAAACTCGCGAATTGAATGTAGCATACATTTGCTAAACTTTCATCCTTCCAGGAAAATTAGAAAAATGGATACCTCCACTTCAAATAACTTGTTTCTTACGACGCAAGTATATCTTTTTAGATTGAAACTTCAAGGTTGATGTGATAAACGGCACTCAAAACCGCATTCTTCATGATCGTCAATCAATTGAACAATCATAAACGATAACGTTCATACTTTATATTGTACCTACATTTACCTGTACGATACTGTTGAGACTTATCATTAGGTGTTTGAGAAGGATATCGTTTCGGTATGATGGGAGAACTTGTTGGACAATCGAATGACTTCGTTGCATTAGGTTCAAAATAAATTTTGTGTCAGAATGCATTGGACAATAACAATGTTCATGGCTTACATTTTGTTCCGATAAAGCGCAGTAATACGCATCGCACAAAATGAAGGTTTGATGGGCAATAGCCTTCCAAGGTGAAATTCCGGATTGGAGCGCCTTCATTTTTAGTGATACTCTACGCATTGTCCCGGAATTAGTTTAGTTGCCTGACCGATCCGAACCCAACCATTGGTCGCAGATTCCCCTGCCCGCTCTCTTAAATGTACATATTACTGCTATGTTTTACGCTTTTCTATTTGTTGACTTGTGGCTTGCAAATTGGCATCGATTGCTATTTATCCCGATAAGTGCACCAAGTTACAAAATCTGAACAGCATCGCAAAGCTTACCTGTAAAGCTTACGAAGCCTAGTTAGTATACATCTAGATATCGAACGCATGCTGAATGGCTAGTTTTCTTTCGAAACCGTATCTGTTACGCAGAAAATCGGATTTCAGCTGCTTTCATCAAACAACCTCGTTTGAACGCAAGAAAATTGGACGGACTGCCCAATTTTAATCTTATTGTAATGCTAGCATCCATCATTTGGACGTATTTCTGTCAAACGGAACTAAATGCATTAAGACATGAGCCCTGAGATCCACAAGGATGTATGCATAATCAATAAAGCTCATGTCATAATGCATATAGTCCCGTTTGGCAGAAATACGTCGATTTTTCGTCGAACGGAAAATTTCTGCTAAGTTTTCATTCGAAAGTAACGCAAAGTAACGCTTTTAGAACACACTTTCTCTAATTTGAATGGACATTTTAATAGCCTACACTGGAAAGAGAAACACATCGGATCTAGGGTCCAGACTCGAAAAACATCGACAAGCAAAAATACTCTTGATTCAATCAGATTTAAGCTTACATCAAGAACCAAGCCTCTTAATTTGAGCGGATTTCCTTTTGATTTAAGCTTAAATCTGATTGAATCAAGAGTCCTTTTTCTTGTCGATGTTTTCAAGAGTCTGGACTCTAGATCCAATGTGTTTTTTTTCTCAGTGTGATGCATATGGTCCCGTTTGGCAGAAATACATCAATTTTGTGTCGAACGGAACATTACTCCTAAGTTTTCATTTGAAAGTAACGCAACGTAACGCTTTTAGAACTTACTTCCTCTAATTTGAATGGACATTTTGATAGACTATCGAAGCTTTAAGAGAGCCTCTAATCTAAAATTCCCGCGTAAAAGAGCTTATCCTCGGATCGGCTCTCGAAAATCCTCTTCGCTAGAGATAAGGCCGCTGCTGCGCACTGCGCTAGAGTGCAAGTAGCCTGGAGTCCTCGTTACGTCGGCGATAACGCGCGGCGGCGCGGCGTAGCGCGAGGAGGCGCGACCGCGCGGTGGAAGTCCCGTTAGCGCGCGAGCAGCCCGAGAGCCAACCTCCGCATCCGCAGCGCAGCCGCGATCATCCGGCAATCCTCTCAGTCCTCGTTTGACCCTCATCCGCTCGTGTTTACGGTTTCCCCGTCAGCTGAGGCCGAGGGTTCCTCCGCCCCCTCCGCCCCCGCCGCCGTCCACAGGGTGCCTTCACCCCTGCCCCCGCCGAACCCCGTGTGAGTGTGTGCGGTATCAGCCATGTTCGCAGCGAATCCGAACTTCGATGATAAAATTGGCGCGCGAATTGCCCAATCGCGTAGTGGTGCATCGCGACTCGCGGTAATAGTGCGTTTGAATCAACGCTGAATGTGAGTGCAGCGCAGTGTAAATCAACTCAGTTTCAGTGTTCAGTGTTCTCTTAACACGTCAAAAATTATATCCCAAGTGGTCGGTCTATGTTTCTTACCACGAATGGTAGCCGCGTTCGCTAAAAATTACTAAAACAGTGGTGGTTCAATTTTATCCGCTAAAAATTGATACCAACGAGGTGGCGAAACTTTACGCACTGGGTCACACGGCAATTATTCAATGATTCCATTTGGCAGTGTGACTATATTGATTTGGGAACCGGTGTAAGTTAGTTTCAACGGTGAAAATGTTACGGAAGTTCGAAACGGAGTTTAGTATGGGGCTACCAACGGTAAAACTCTCGTTCGTGTTCGTGTAACGTTATGGGCTCTTTCGGGAAAAGAGCGGCAACTCAAGATACGCTGCCAAGGTCGTTGAGTGGCAAACAAACACGCATGTTTACTCTAAACAAGTCGGAACTTACTGCGCGGGAAAAATAAGTTCAGAACTTGTGGCATCACAGCGGCATCTTGATTTTTGCGACGCATCCTTTCAAATTCAGCGATGATACTGTAAAAAATTACAATGAATTGTATTTCAGACTGCCATTGGTTTAAAAAGTAAACACTGAAGTCAGGTCAAAAAGGTGCAGTTAAAACCGTGCTCAGGTTCGAATACCCTGTTCGATCGTGGCAAATCCAAACTTGTTGGTTTTGATCTCCGTGCCAAATACTCCCAACACCCTGTCCTGTGACAGTGACATTTTTATGGAGGCCGGGTCTCTGCGTCACTATAACGGGTTTCCGGGGGACAAGTTTTAACTCGATGCTGAAGTGCTGATTGATCGGATCTGACGTCAGAGTTTAGTGCTCATCGCGCATCCAACGTCCTCTGACGCATGTCTCTCCGGAAGTCAAAGGAAACGTCATAGTTTCGCTATTGTGGGGTTGAAAATGAGCTCTGAAAACTTTCCAGTTTACTTTGCAGGGACCGAATACTTGAATTTCTCCAGCAAAGGTGCGTACTTAGTCTTCTTTTTAATTTTCAAGTCTAAAAACCGTACCAGTGATATCATACCGACTCAATTATAATCGGTTTGATCGGGTAATTTAGCAGAGTTCACATTGCAGAAAGTCCATTAAAATACAATTTAGCAGGGCATTTCCTTGGACCACATGCATATGTGTTGTACAAAATGCACCCGTCTCACTCCTCAATTAAGTTGCTATGATTATGTGTTTTTTTTTTTTTTTTTCGATTCTTACATTATTATCACTTCAACCTTATTTTAATTTCTAACCACATATGATCAATTCCTGGGACGAGATTAATACCATTTGCACCTAGAAAAAGCCACATATCGAGGGCTAAGGAACCATACAGCTTAAATGACAAGTTCGGCAAAAATGAGATAGCAACTTTGTCACATTCTACTGTATAAAATACTCAAGCTGGTGATTTTAGTTTTTTTCCAATCCTGTAGGGGAGCGCTGTTGGCTGTAATGTAGTGTAATGTTCGAGAAAATCGGAAATGTAACCTCAATAGTGCCAAAATGGAGAAGTACTCTCTTCGTCCCGCAATAGGGTCAGTTTGTAGATAAGCGGTATTCTTCCTAAGCCATCAAACTCCGTCGTTTCGGGGTTTTTTTCCAGAAAATTTTTTAAGCATTTTACATGTAAATTGAGTCGTTTTCGTCAAGAATAATTACCGAACGTAAGCGGTCTTCCCTCCTCTTTCCTCCGTTCCTTCCTTCTTTCTGTCTTTCTTTCTTTCTTTGTTCCCTTTTTATTCCTCATTTTTCTTGGCGAATGGGGGAGGGAGGTGCAGTCCCCCCCCTTAATCCGCCTAAGTCTGGAGCATTGCTGGGGAGTAACGTAAACATTGAATACTTGCGACGAAGCGACTGAGAGCGCACAAATGCATCAAGCCTGGCGCTCAGAGCTGGCTCGATGATAAATCGAGTATTGATTCAAATTTCATGAGGGGAAATCGATCGATCAGTACTTCAAAGATAGAGTCGCTCGGACAATGCAAGCGTGAGACTCGAGCATGCATCGGGAACCAGCGCGATTAAAATACCACAAGCCGCGGCATGCACTCGTCGAGCATGTAGCAGCGTGCAGAGAGCATCACACATAAACACAAGCTCTGTTATCGGGGCTGTAGTACGCAGCCTAAAGGTCAAAGAACCGAGGCAGATAGAGGGACGAGCAGCAGGACGGGTATCGGGAGCGTATTATGATCTTTATTTTGTTTTGATGCACAGCGAGAGCCGAGCGTCTAATAATGGAGTGCCTCTCGGACGCGTTTTATCGGCTACCAGAATAACGTTGATTTATCGTGCGGCGCTTTTTTTATTTTCACTCTGCGTGATTTAATTACGGGAGATTGTGCCCTGGCCTGGCCTAATCGCGCTCCTCGCCGCCCGCCCGCCGCCGATAACGTGAAAAATAAAATTGCCTTATCTCGCGTTTAAAATTTTCCTGCGCCTGCGGCTGTCTGCCCCGGGCGCGCTGACAATTTCTCCGTGCTTCGCTGTTATTGAGTGTTTACTGAGTGGGCATGCGTGTGCCACCTGCGCCGTTTCGTTGATTGGACAACGTCAATCAGAAGGTGTCCTACCTTCGTCTGGTAGCAAGCCTCGATACTCAGGTTTTCTTAACTTTACTGATCGAGAACTAAGGTACAATACCGCCTAACTGACAATTGTGGCAAAAATGAGCTAGCGACTTCTCCGATTTTAGTTGTTTTCCAATTCTAAGGGGGAGCGCTGCAATGATCTAGTATGATCAGAGTATTTCAAATCCAACCTAAAAATTACAAAAATGACGAAGTTTTTCTCTTCGTCATGCAAAATTTTCAGTTTGAAGATAGGTGGTATTATTCCTCAGCCATCGATATTGTAATGACGAGATTTGCTTCCTTCGTCTTCAAAATATGTTCATTACTTGCGTTACATTTTGCAAGAAAGTGAGAGTTGAGCCAATTTCCTCCAGCAAAGTTCCTCCAACGCTCTATTGTAATCCACTCGATACAGCTGAAAATCACGAGGTTCGTATCCACGCACCTAAAAATGGTGTTAATTCATGTCATGATATAATTTGCAGGGCCGGATTTTCCTACTTGCCGCCCATGGGCCGCCTCCTTCTCATTCGTTTTGAAACATCAATAAAAATCATCACGTGAATGTGCCAGCGGGGGAGGGGTGCATAAGACGCGTCTACTCGTGTTGAACACATTTTTTGGGTAAGCCCTATCAACACTACTAGCAAAAGGTCACGGAACTTTGCGCGAAAGTCAGGTTTCGTAAACCTATCTCCAATGGACAAGGCCTTCCATTCATAAGAAATGAACGAAAAAATTATGAAAGAACAAACACAAAATTTGGTTTAATGATTGTAACTTCCGCCGCCGCGCCGCGCCGACAGCACCGTGTTTGGCGCAATGCGTGAAGTATTCACGCAATCTTGTAGGCGCTACGCTATGCGTTTCACGCTGACCGCACTGTGTTTGGCGCAATGCGTGAAGTATTCATTCATTCTTGTAGCCGCTATCCGTTTCACGCTGACCACAATGACCGCACTGCGTTTGATGCAATGCGTGAAGTATTCGTGCAGTCTTGTAGGCGCTATTAATATGTGTTACATGCCAAGGGCTTCTCCTTTTCATCTGAAGTCCTCGTCATCATTTCTCCCTAAGTCGCGCCGTTCGAGGCCAAATTGTGTGTTTGGTTTCTCTCTTAACTCGACTAATAAAAGGTGCTGTCCCTTGTATCACTGAAAGACGACACAATTAGAAATTACTATACTCGTAGGAAACGAGAGATTTTATAGCCTTTTCTCGTTTGTAATTTTTTTTCTAAATACCTACGATTTTTTTATACCTACATTTAAAAAAAAATGCAAAATTCGCCGCCCCTAGATTTGCCGCCATGGGCCGCGGCCCATGTGGTCACCCCCTTAATCCGGCCTTGAAAATTCGATCTTTGATAGCAATCAATTTGCGAATCCTACCCTACCTCGCGAATGGTGCAATTTATCATACCACGGCCCACGGTGAATCGGTCTCTGAAATCAATCAGATTGAAAACTCTGACTTGAAAATGGTGGGATTCAATATGCAACAGTTTAACTGGTACCTGAAAACGCACCTGAGGAGCTTGCATACCCCGACCTGGAGATTGTGATATCCAATGTGCTCCAGGTTTCTGGAGGCAATTAGGTTGCAAATTTCGACCTGGGAATGGTGCAATTCAATATGCAACAGTGCAACTGTTTCCTGAAAGCAGAAAGGTATTCCAACCTGCAAATGGGTCCAGTTTGACTGTTCCCTGAAAGCAATTATGTACAATATTCCGACCTGGCAATGGTGCAATATTCAATTTGTTAAATGTCTCTGGAAGCAGTTAAGCTGCAAATCTAGAGCATAAAATGATGCTACTTAATGTACTACGTGTAATCGAGATGTTGCATGTGTGAGGAATTTGCGATTTGACTGTTGATTGTAATGTAAAAGTTCGTGAGAAACACGATGGTGCCACTGGTTTTCTCTGAAATCAACTTCCAAACTCAAAAAAGCTCTCAAGTTGAGGCCAAAATGGAGGGGATATCCCACCCTTCCCTGAGAGTCCGCACATCTACATCAAGACAAACTCTCCATGCACAGATAGGGATCAAAGTCTGGATTTTCCAGACTTTTACATATGAACCAACAGTCAAATCGCAAATTTTTCCCACATGCAACATCTCCATTGATCCCTCCAAACAATCGGATTGATAACTTCAGCCCTGAAAATGATACTAATGACTTTGTCACGGTGCAACTTGGTTCCTTAGAGAGAGTCATGTAGCACACCATGACCTAAAAATGTGCAACGTTACAACTTTGCCTCTAAAAGCAACCAGGTAGAGTCTTCAGACCTGAAAATCATACGACTCAATATGCAACGATATAATTTTGTTCCCGGACGCAATGAGATCCAAATCCCATTGAAACCAGGATGCCCAGGAAATGGCGCTTTCAAACACGCCACGGTAGTGCAATTTCGTCCTTGAGAGCGAATTGATCAGGTCGTTGGACTTCCAGACCACCGGCAATTGTATTACGGAACACATTTTTGCCCGAGTCCCCCGTCCCTACAAACAATCAAATCGTGAATTTCCCGTAGTGGAAGTGGTGTTACGTGCGAATAAAAACTCGGGTTGTGCCGTTCCTCGTCGGAGCCGCTACGTCTGCTCGTCTGAAGCGACCAAGTCGACGTTTACTCGCGAGGCAATTGTTGATAAGAAGTCGTCGGGCGAGGCGGGAGCTTAGCACGGACAGATTGCATGCGTGACGTGACGTCTACTTCAACGTCGCATCGCGTCGTCGGTCGTCGTCGTTGCGCCTGATTATCGCGGCACAAGTCAATTCGATAAAACTTCTGCGAACTTGGAAAGACAGGCAGGCTCCTGCTTTGCCGCTGTTGTCGGATGTATTGCCCGTGTATTGGCGAAGAATAGGAGCTTAGTGAAAAAACAAGCGAGAAAGCTCAAAGGGGTCGTTCAAGTTTTATGTAACGTACTTTTTCCGATTTTTAACCCCCTCCCAACGTAGCCCTACATCCCCCTTTTAAATTAAGCAACACTGGCCTGACCCAGCTCCCAATTTTCAAAAAAAGGACACGAATACTCCTTTAAAGTTTCCACATCAAAATAGAAAACAACGCTCTAGAATGGTATCACACGGCTCAAAAATAGGATAAGGGAAAAAAATGACGTTTTACCTACCGACGAAAACCGTTAGATTGTTGTCGGTGGACAATTTCTTTTATTCTTTGAGTTGTTTTTGAGCGAAATTATCTCATGTCTTCTCCCGTGTACATACCTGTGATTTCTGAAAGGTGGCTCAGCACATTGTATCTGAGTGTGGATGCGGGCATTCTTAATATAAGTAAAAAGTAAAAAAAGCGATAAGTTTGATGAAGTAAATAATTGCAAGTCATATGGGTCCTGTGGTACAACTAGAACTGTTCTTA